TTTTCTCCTATGCAAAATCAAGATCAAAAACCACATCTAGTATCGGGCCCCTGCGAAAGGGAGATGGAACTTTCACCGATGACAACAAAGAAATGAGCGAGCTACTGAGGAAGCAGTACGACGCTGTTTTCAGCGAGCCATTAAACACACTAAAAATTGATAACCCAAATGAATTTTTCATGGATATGATACCAACATCAAATCATATATCAGACGTCACCCTATCCCCACTGGATTTTGAAGAAGCCATAAACAGTATGCCTATGCACTCTGCACCAGGCCCGGATTCTTGGAACTCCATATTCATAAAGAACTGTAAAAAAACACCATCGCAGGCCCTCCACATTCTGTGGAGACAAAGCCTAGATACTAGCGTTATTCCTGATATACTAAAAACAGCAGAGATAGCACCACTTCATAAAGGAGGAAATAAGGCAGAGGCAAAAAATTACAGACCGATAGCACTAACATCGCACATCATAAAAATTTTTGAGACAGTGCTAAGAAGTAAGATCACAAAATACATGGAATCACAGCATCTCCATAACCCCGGACAACATGGTTTCAGAACAGGGCGCTCTTGCCTGTCGCAGTTGCTGGACCACTATGATATGGCATTAGATGCTATGGAAGACAAACAAAACGCTGATGTAATTTACACAGATTTCGCAAAAGCTTTTGATAAATGTGACCATGGTGTTATTGCACATAAAATGCGTTCAAAAGGAATTACCGGAAAAATAGGCAGATGGATCTACAATTTCCTGACCAACAGAACCCAATGTGTAATAGTCAACAAAATAAAATCCAGCCCATCAACCGTGAAGAGCTCAGTCCCCCAGGGTACTGTGCTTGCTCCAGTACTTTTTCTCATCCTCATATCGGACATAGACAAAAACACAACCTATAGCACTGTATCATCTTTTGCAGATGACACTAGGATCTTCATGAGAGTAGCAACATAGAGGACACGGCGAACCTCCAGTCAGATGTAGATCAGGTCTTTCTATGGGCTACAGAAAATAATATGGTGTTTAACGAAGATAAGTTCCAGCTCATGCGCTATGGAAAAAATGAAAATATAAAAACGGAAACCACGTACAAAACTCAGGCAAATCATAACATAGAACGAAAAGGCAATGTAAAGGATCTGGGTGTACTCATGTCGGAAGACCTTACCTTTAAAGAACACAATAAAGTAGCCGTCACAACTGCAAGAAAAATGACAGGTTGGATAACAAGAACTTTTCACACTAGAGATGCTATACCGATGATGATACTTTTCAAAACGCTTGTGCTCTCTAGAGTGGAGTACTGCTGCACAATGACAGCACCTTTCAAAGCTGGAGAAATTACTGAACTGGAGAGCGTGCAGAGATCCTTTACTGCTAGAATCCACTCAGTAAAACATCTAAACTATTGGGACCGACTAAAGAGCCTAAAACTGTACTCCCTTGAGCGCAGGCGGGAGAGGTACATAATAATTTACACGTGGAAAATATTAGAGGGGCTGGTCCCAAACCTGCACACAGAAATAACATCACATGAGACCAGAAGACATGGCAGGATGTGCAGAATACCCCCGTTGAAAAACAGAGGTGCAACAGGTACTCTGAGAGAGAACTTTATCAACATCAGAGGCCCGAGACTGTTCAACACGCTTCCACTACACATAAGGGGCATAACTGGCCGACCCCTCACAGTGTTCAAGAGAGAACTGGATAAGCACCTCCAAAGGATACCTGATCAACCAGGCTGTGACTCATACGTCAGGCTGCGAGCAGCCGCGTCCAACAGCCTGGTTGATCAGTCCGGCAACCAGGAGGCCTGGTCGACGACCGGGCCGCGGGGACGCTAAGCCCCGGAAGCACCTCAAGGTAACCTCAAGGTAGGTCCCGTGCCCCCAGATCATTACCCTGCAAATTTGGGCGAGGCTATACTAGCCCCAGGAATCGGGCCTCCAACTTGGGACAGACACAGCCAGACAAACAAACATTCTCATATATATAGTATAGATATATAGATGGGTCTCGCAGTACAGTTGGCTTCGTTTTCGGCCCCCAGATCATTACCCTGCAAATTTGGGCGAGGCTATACTAGCCCCAGGAATCGGGCCTCCAACTTGGGACAGACACAGCCCAAACATTCTCATATATATAGTATAGATATATAGGTATATACATACAAATGATGTTACATTAATGGATTGATATATAGATAGAGCTAGTACATACAATGCCTAAAGCCACTATTACGCAATGCGTTTCGGGCAAGAAAAACATTAATATCTAGAACTAATACTAATTGAGCATAAAGAATAAAAGATGTTGAGAACAAATACAAACAAAGATAAAAAAAAGGGGGAACATGACTGAAAAAGCAGCAGGTACAAACAGTGTTGATTACAAAAAAAAAAAAAAGAAAATAACAGACATGGGTTGACAGTAGAGGAGTGAGGTAGATTACAGGGAATTTATTAGGTAGTGTTTAGTTTTCGTCTCACACTGGTTGAGAGAGGGACAGTCTTTAAATGGTTGGGGTCATTCCACATTTGGGCCTTTGAAACTTTTTTTGATATATTTAGAATGTGTCCCTGGAAATTCAGCTTGTTGTCAATGAGAATGCCAAGGAATTTGCCATCTAATTTGTTACAAATTTGGGTATTGTTTATTTTGAGATTTATAAGACTAGACGATTTATTGCCAAACAGAATATAGAAGGTTTTGTCAATGTTAAGGGTGAGTTTGTTGGCAGTTAGCCAAAGATGGACTTTATTTAGCTCAGTATTTACTGTGGCATTTAGAGCAAGAGGGTCAGGACTGGAGTAAATGAAGGTTGTGTCGTCAGCAAATAGAATTGGTTTGAGGTGTTGGGAGGCATTTGGAAGGTCATTAATGTAGATGAGAAAGAGGAGAGGGCCAAGTATGCTGCCCTGAGGAACACCAATGTTGATGGGTAGGGTGGGAGAAATTGTATTATTCACAGAAACATATTGGAGCCTGTCAGTAAGGTAGGACTCGAGGTATTGTAGGGAGTGCCCTCTGACTCCATAATGATGTAATTTAAGAAGAAGGTTATGGTGGTTGACAGTATCAAAAGCTTTACGCAGGTCCACAAATAACCCAACAGGGAGCTCCTTTTTATCAAGGGCTGTATGAATCGAGTTAAGCATACTAATAAGTGCATCGTTAGTGCTTTTTTTGGGTCTGAAGCCATATTGGCAAGGGCTAAGTATATTGAGTTTGGCTAGATATGAGTAAAGCTGCTTGTATATAAGTTTTTCAAAAATTTTTGACAAGTTTGGCAGGATTGATATAGGTCTGTAGTTGTTAACATCTGTGGGATCACCACATTTGTGGACAGGCGTTACTCTCGCTTTTTTTAGAATATCTGGAAAGGTTTGGAGTTCAAGTGACTTGTTGAAGAGCAAAGCAATAGCAGGGGCTAAAGATCTGGAGGCTTTTTTGTAAATTAAAGTTGGTATCTCCTCAAGGGCACCAGACTTGGTTTTAAGGGAAAGGATTATCTCATTGACGTCAGTGGAGTTAATAGGCTTTAGGTACAGAGACTGTGGATAGTTACCTGTAAGATAGTCCTTAATGTCAGTACTGGAAGATGGAATATCATTTGCAAGGGATGAACCAATGGAAGAGAAGAACCTATTGAACTCAATAGCAGAATCAGAGGCTGAAAGCTGACCATCGTTATTAGACAGGAGAGTCGGTTTGTTATTTAAAGATTTCTTTGATCCCAATATTTGTGAAATTGTGCTCCAAGTTTGTTTAATGTTGCTCTTTATTGAGTAAATTTATCTTCGTAGTAATTAGTTTTGGCTCGTCTAATTATCTTAGTTAGCAATAATGAGTAATTCTTTGAGAATTCTTTGGAGACAATTCCTAACCTATACTTCTTCTCAAGGTCGTGTTTTTTGTTAATGGATTTCAGTATTCCCTTTGTAAGCCAAGGATTGTTAAGCCTTTTGCTTGTGACTTGTTTTGTAAGCCTAGGACAGTGGGTGTTATAAAGGCTAAGAGTTGTTTGTAGAAAAGATTGCACTGCTAGGTTGATGTCCCCTATGTTACCTAACTCGGACTCCCAGTTGACATTATCAGCAGCAGTTATAAAATTGTTTATAGCAGTTTCATTGTGCAGCCTAAAGCTTAACTCCCTTGTTTCTAGAGGTGGTTTGCTAATGTTAGTTAAGAGAAATGTGGGGTAGTGGTCTGTAGTGCTATCGGTGATTATACCTGAAGTAAGCGGAGAGGTTATGTTGGTCCAGATGTGATCTAGAGTCGTGGCAGTGCTATCAGTGATTCTAGTAGGTCTAGTGATTAAGGGTATGAGGAGGCAGGAATTCATACAGTTGAGGAAGCTAACAGCAGTAGGGTGTTCTGGCTCGCAGAGGTCAATATTAAAGTCCCCTGCGATAATTAGGTGGTTTTTGTTCAGTCTGTTATCAAGTATTAGATTTCTAAGGTTTGAGTTGAATACAGACACATCAGTGTTGGGAATTCTATAGACTGCACCCACAGACAGGACAGACTCAGCACCCTTGACTCTACTTAATGCCTCTGTTCGCGCAGTAGTAAATAGGTACTTGGGAGTTAGTCAGCTGTTGTTGGGTTGCACTTTCAGGATGGTCAATAGTTCGGCCTTGTGGGGGGGACCTCGATACAATAAGTTTAAAGTATGTATGTATACACGCAGGCTTCCTGTCCCCAAGAAAACGAAAACAAATATAATTATAATTAAATTATGATTATGAATTAAGAGTAGGCTTAGGTATGACACGAAACATAATAAATAGGTGGGGAATGAGCGACAAGAAGTAGGGATCTATACAAGAAGTAAAGAGCTCATCCTACGAGGACAGAAGCATTTGGGCAACATTTCCTTTCATCTCTTGCCTCGATCTGTTCACCTAGCAATTGTTTTGTTATAAAACCCACTTTATTATTTAGTAAACATTTTAAATTGTAAATAAACCTAGGAATCCACATAGCCTTTAGGCGTTGGGTGGGCGGGGCGCTTGGCGACCGTCACGCCGGGATCAGCTGTTGAACAAAAATAGCCGCGGGGAACGAACTCAATAATACACGGGAGTTTGACACTAGGCCGCCGCCACCTATGGTCACACTGGTGAGTGTTCACCACCTCTCTCAGGCTACACTCTGGCCCTCTCTAACATGTACTGGAGCTGTAGTAGTACATGCAACACTTGCACGGGACCCGCTCCCCCTCCCCCCTTGGCCTGACTCACTACAGTTACACTCTTGACCTGACTCACTACAGTTACACTCTTGACCTGACTCACTACAGTTACACTCTTGACCTGACTCACTACAGTTACACTCTTGGCCTGACTCACTACAGTTACACTCTTGGCCTGACTCACTACAGTTACACTCTTGGCCTGACTCACTACAGTTACACTCTTGACCTGACTCACTACAGTTACACTCTTGACCTGACTCACTGACTCACTACAGTTACACTCTTGACCTGACTCACTACAGTTACACTCTTGGCCTGACTCACTACAGTTACACTCTTGGCCTGACTCACTACAGTTACACTCTTGACCTGACTCACTACAGTTACACTCTTGGCCTGACTCACTACAGTTACACTCTTGGCCTGACTCACTACAGTTACACTCTTGACCTGACTCACTACAGTTACACTCTTGACCTGACTCACTGACTCACTACAGTTACACTCTTGACCTGACTCACTACAGTTACACTCTTGGCCTGACTCACTACAGTTACACTCTTGGCCTGACTCACTACAGTTACACTCTTGACCTGACTCACTGACTCACTACAGTTACACTCTTGACCTGACTCACTACAGTTACACTCTTGGCCTGACTCACTACAGTTACACTCTTGGCCTGACTCACTACAGTTACACTCTTGGCCTGACTCACTACAGTTACACTCTTGGCCTGACTCACTACAGTTACACTCTTGGCCTGACTCACTACAGTTACACTCTTGGCCTGACTCACTACAGTTACACTCTTGACCTGACTCACTACAGTTACACTCTTGACCTGACTCACTACAGTTACACTCTTGACCTGACTCACTACAGTTACACTCTTGGCCTGACTCACTACAGTTACACTCTTGACCTGACTCACTACAGTTACACTCTTGGCCTGACTCACTACAGTTACACTCTTGACCTGACTCACTACAGTTACACTCTTGACCTGACTCACTGACTCACTACAGTTACACTCTTGACCTGACTCACTGACTCACTACAGTTACACTCTTGACCTGACTCACTACAGTTACACTCTTGGCCTGACTCACTACAGTTACACTCTTGACCTGACTCACTGACTCACTACAGTTACACTCTTGACCTGACTCACTACAGTTACACTCTTGGCCTGACTCACTACAGTTACACTCTTGGCCTGACTCACTACAGTTACACTCTTGGCCTGACTCACTACAGTTACACTCTTGGCCTGACTCACTACAGTTACACTCTTGGCCTGACTCACTACAGTTACACTCTTGGCCTGACTCACTACAGTTACACTCTTGGCCTGACTCACTACAGTTACACTCTTGGCCTGACTCACTACAGTTACACTCTTGGCCTGACTCACTACAGTTACGAGCATCCCCACAGGCCAGGTGGTGGTGGGCACTGGTGGGCTCCACTGTCTGCCCACCGGTATTAGACCACCTGGATACCAAATAAATTGTTGATTGTGTTCTGTGGGGATAATATGGCAATGAATAATATAATAGTTTCAGTAATTTGTTTAACATGCTTTGATCTGCTCTAATCAGGCTTCTCCATGAGCAAGACAAATTATGTTGCCTTCATTACATACAGTAATTACTGTACATTACAATGCCTGGTTCATCAGGGCAAATGGGGAGACCTTTGACAAGCTGCCAGCTTCCTGTCCTCATCGAGGCCACTAGTATTAGTGGCCTTTGGGTAAATTCAGGTAAATTACATGCAGTTGGTGACAGCACCTACACTCTTACTAAAGTCCATCTTGTATTTTTTGTATAGTTTTTTGTTTGTTTATGCTTGGTTGGTTTTCAGTATAACACGAGACGGCATCAGTCCTGTTCAAGTCAAATGAACCTTTACTCAACTTGCATGTACCATAAAAAAAGACTGTATGAGGTGGAAGACTTTGGCACTAGTAATTGTGATAAATCTTATCTAGCCTTATCTTCTTACCTTTGTCTTCTGCCCAAAATCCAACCCAAACTAATCTAGCATAAAATGTAGGCAAATGAGCTGGGTCCATAGACCCTGTAAAATCAGAATACACACGAAATACTTGACAGTATTTTAGGTATCATGAATTACCTGTGTCAGCCACAAAATCTTAAATTCAAGTTAATAGGGCCTCGTAGCCTGGTGGATAGCGCGCAGGACTCGTAATTCTGTGGCGCGGGTTCAATTCCCGCACGAGGCAGAAACAAATGGGCAAAGTTTCTTTCACCCTGAATGCCCCTGTTACCTAGCAGTAAATAGGTACCTGGGTGTTAGTCAGCTGTCACGGGCTGCTTCCTGGGGGTGGAGGCCTGGTCGAGGACCGGGCCGCGGGGACACTAAAAAGCCCCGAAATCATCTCAAGATAACCTCAAGATAATATACCAAATGAAACTGACAATGTTCAGGTAAAGATTTCCAATTCACACCTACTCCCCTCTGAACCTCCACACACACGCACACCTTGCCAATGTGTGTAATAACATTAGATCATTACACTGTGCTTCCTGTGCAACGAGCCACCTGACATTGTTTGCTGTTGACTGTATGCAGCCCCCTGGGAGGCTGGTGTCCAGTCCCCCAGGGGGCCAGATACTTGCAATCCAGGTACTGAATATTTATTACGGAAGTGTGGCCTAATGGTACTTACACTAGGGAGGTTTACCAATATAATATAATGTACGCCACTCAACCTTTATATCCTTGTGCAACCCTTGAAATAATTTTGTCTCAAGGAACCCCTTGCATAAAATTTATTTTATAAAATATATAATATTTATATATATTTAATAATCACAAAAATATTCCTGTACATTATACTATACTGTATTTATTATTCTCACAAATATATATTTACTACTCAAAAAAAATCAAACATCAGTAAACAAAAATAATAAACATTGACACGTTTACAAAGTACAGTATAAGATAAATCCAGGCAATATGGAGAAATATGTGGGTCAAGATAGGGGAGGGAACTATCAGGAGAAAGTGCCAAGCTATTATGATGATTATATAGCAGTTGGAAGGGATCAGGTTAAGGATTTGGGATGGAGCGGGTGGAAGGAATGGTGGCCAACCACTTGGACGGTCGGGGATTGAACGATAACCTGGATGAAGAGAGATCACTGCTCAACTGTCCACCCGAAGTGGGTTTCATTGGCATGTGTAAAAAAAAAAATGCTTCTTAAGTGAATTTCAATCATGAAATTTGGTTTTCTAATGTGAAACCTGTGCTTACCTTTTGGTTCTCAAATACTGTACTGTACTTAATTTGGGGGCAAATTATAGATGAACATGCAAAGATTTAATTTTCAACTGAAAGGAGACGACTTCTATGTTAGTTTTGATAAATGAGAAAAAGCTTGCTTTCACGTGTAAGAAGATGAAAACTGTAGCAATTTATGTATTACTCTTCTAGGAATGGCAGGATAATCATCATTTACAGAAATCCAGAACTTATGCAGCAATAGGTCAGTGACTCATCTTGTGTGTATGATGAGATTGCAGCTCACAAAATTGTTTTGCCTGTCGTAAAGTAAAGTTCTCAGGATTAAAAGATTCAGAATACGGAGCCCACACCCAATCATATTCTTCTGTTGGGAAATGGGAAAAATGGGAAAGAAAGAAATGTTGGGAAAGGGTGAGAAAATAATGTTCGAGTTTGATTAATAGTTCTTCCAGAATATATGAAAACATGATAAATAACACTAAAAAAAGCAAGCTGAATAATATACTGTATTGCAAAAATAGCAATAGAGAAGAAAAATGTGTGTAATTAAAAATTTAAAAGTGTAATAAAATTACGAATTTAAAATATTGCAAAAATAGCAAAAGAGAACAAAAATGTGTGTGTAATAATTTTTTTTAAATATACAGTACATGTGTAATAAAATTATGAATATAAAATTGAAAACCAAATTTACTCAAAAATACTTTTCCATATGATTAGCATTAGCCTATTCATCAGTCTTTTGCAGAAACCCTAGTGACCTCTTGCAGAAGCCTGCAAGGGTGCCGGGAAATACCAGTTGAGAAACACAGATATAGACCATACGCATGGTTGTACTGATACCTTCATATTGGGTGACCACACACCTCATACTGATTTATATTTGGCCACTTACATATTTTTGTGTAATATCTGAATAAGTATTACATCTGCTGACATGACCAAGTTGTCATTTTATAGATAAAAGTTTAGCAATAAATATCATCATTGATGGTCAAGATAATACAGTACTGGATATTTCTATTTTTAAATCTGATTTTGACACCAATAGCCTACAAGTATGTTAAGTGGCCAGAATCTTGTAATTTTACCCCTAGTGACCTTGTCAAAACAGGACATTTTTTAGGAAATATATTCTGAACTTTTAATTTACCTGAATTTACCCGAGGGCCACTTAACACTTTAGCGGCCTCGATAAGAACAGAAAGCTGGTGCCTTCTCGAAGGTTCCCCCCATTTGCCCTGATGATCTATTCCAGTTGGATTTAAAAATTTAGAGTTTTGGCATTTACAGCTTCGGTGGGCAGGAGGTTCCACGGGTTAATAACCCTGTGGGTGAAAAAGCATCTCCTGTTCTCAGTCCTACTTTGTGGCTTGATGGGCTTGAACCCGTTGCTCCTTGTTTGGGTTACATCGGACCTTCTGAAGAAATTGTCTGGATCAACATCCTCCAAATTGTTCAGTATTTTAAGTTTCAATGGGTTCTTCCCTGTCATGCTTGATTTGCAGTGTTGTTAGCCCTGTGGCCCTCAACTGTTCCTGGTATGGGAGTTGACACAGCTCTGGAATGATTTTTGTTGCCCAGTGTTGCACTTTCTCCAGAGCAGCAATGTCCTCCTGAAGATGGTCTCCATGCTTGGATACAGTAATCCAAAAGGGGAGAACACCAGAGGTTTTTACAGTTGAATCACTATCTTCTTTTCCTTAAGGCAGAGGTACACTTGATTGTGACAAGGGTTTGGTTAGCTTTTCTGACTGCTGCTCCTACCAGTTTTGCAACTTTCATTGAATGGTGGATATTGACTCTTAGGTCCTTTTCTTCATCAATCTGCTGTAATGAAATGTTATTAATTTGATAGTTGTGCCGTGGGTTGTTGGTCGTCTAGGGCTTATTTCGGGCGCAGGGATTTGAGGGTCGCACAGGTTCTTGGCCGCCCATTCTTTATGCGCGTCTGCTCCTGTGCGTTCTTGTTGCCTTGGGTCGCAGGTTGCAGCCTGTTGTTCCGGCTTCACATTGCGGAGTCTGTGGCGGCCGCCTCCCGGGTCAGCCCTTTCTTTTCCTTCTCTTTGGGTATGAAGCTCCAGGGAGCCGTACGGGCTCCCCACAGAAAACCAGTGTTGAATGTAATGAAACTCCATTTTCTGGGTTAGCCCAGGAGGCTCCCTGGCAACCCTCCCTCCCACCGGTCGGCGTTTTTTTTTTCGCGTTGGTTGAAGCTTAGCTTCCGAACTGATGCTAGGCAGCCGGCGCAGTTGGTCTGGGGCTTCCCCCTCCCCCTCTCGGGGCGGGGAGGGCTGCGCGGACGATCGGCACTGCATTAAAGTGTGATGTTTGCTTGTTTCCTTGGGATTGTAGGGAGTTTCTGCCTCGCTGTTCGTTTTTTTGTTTTAGTTTTTTACCATATGGGGTTTGTTTTGTTATGCCTACCTTTCTGGGTGCCTGACCCCGGTCGATGGCAGATAAGGAAAACCCCAACCACAAGGGGGTTTTCCAGGGCCATTACTCCCTGAAACTTCTCTGAAGAGGCCAGGTTCTGGCGCTGGTCCCTGGTAGGTCTGAACTCCTTAGCTACTGTCCCGGTCTAATGAAACATACATTAGTCCGATAAGCTCCAGGGAGCCTCCGGGGCTCGCCCAGAAAATGGCATTTCATTACATTCAACGCTGGTTTTTTCACATTTTGAGATTCAGCCTCTGAACTGGGGTTGGGTCGCTGGCACGGGAGATCTGGGGCTCCCCCTTCCCAAGAGGGGGAAGCTGCACAGACAGCGGCGGGCCGGCTGTGATGACGACATGCTTGTTTTCTTATTGGGGAGTTCTGCCTGCTCGTTCGGATTTTGGTTTGCAATGTTTAACCAGCTGTTGTTTGTTTTGGAATTCCTACCTTTCTGAGTGCCTGACCTGGTAGATGGCAGACAGACTTCTTCCAACTGCATGGTGTCTATAGGCTCCTCATGCATCTCTGTGGGGGCCAGGTTCTGGCTCGTGAGCCCCGGTAGGCTAAGAACTCCATCGATCGACTGATGCCACGATCTAATATATACACATCAGTCAGGTATAGCTCTGTGGAGCCTCTGGGTCTCACCCAGAAAATGGCATTTCATTACATTCAATGTTGATTTTTTTGTTTCCTATAGCCAATTTTTTTTTTAGAATATTTCTAATAAATGATATAACCCATCTTTGCATGTATTTAAGCATACCATAAAAATATTAGTACTGTCTCCACTCAATTATCCGGACTATATGGGAAGGACCCCCAGCCGGATATTCACGTGTTCCAGATAATGGTACTTTTTCACCTTGAGTCCAAAAGTGACCATTTCCAACTATTTTTATAATACAAACAACATAATTTGAATTGCCTTCCCACATATAATTATTAAATATTCAACTAGAAACTTCAACTTACCTTGTTGGTGTTCGTCTTCTTGATTGATGCCACACATCTTGAAGTTAAGAATTCTTAACAGTTTACGTAACCTATACTAACACAACACTAAAATTAACACTTAAAATTACTGTACAGTTTATTAAGCAAAGTTAGTTTTGACTGCCAGCTGCTGAAGCCTCACTGGTTGAAGGCATTTGGGTTGCCTGTAAGGCTTCACTTGTTGAAGGTGCTTGCTTGCGCCTCACTTGTTGAAGGTGCTTGCATGTGCCTCACTTGTTGAAGGCGCTTGGCTTGCCTGTGGCGCCTCACTTGTTGAAGGTATTTGGCTTGCCTGTGATGCCTCACTTGTTGAAGGTATTTGGCTTGCCTGTGGCGCCTCACTTGTTGAAGGTATTTGGCTTGCCTGTGATGCCTCACTTGTTGAAGGCATTTGGCTTGCCTGTGACGCCTCACTGGTTGAGGTGTATAACACGTAACTTGTCTTTAATTGTTAGAACAACCTTCTTCTTCTTAACACCTCGAGACGGGAGCACATGGGTTGACCAATGTTGGTCGGGTCCACTTGGGGCGGCTATAGCACGTTACGTAGGCCGCCAGGAGGAAAAAACTCAATATTTTTGAAGGAAACTTCAGCCTGTGCACATTGTTTTTAGGAAACTTATATATTTGTTATTACATAATTACTAGTATTTCTTTTGTTTTTGGCTATAATGAATTGTTCTAAAATTAATGGTAATTCCTGTACCCAGGTGGTCCCTCCCGACGTTTACCTCCCACCCTCCCAACACCACCCACCCACCCCACCCCCTCCTCCACCATGCGCCTTGAGCCACAGCCAGACGGGATTAATACAGTACGTCACACCCCATGGCTTTCATATCCAGACAATTGAATGATTATCCAGCTGATAGTGTAACATTGGCAGCAAGTTAACTGGCTCTGATTTTTTATCTGGCTAACCCAGCTTTTATCCGGCTCCCACGGACATTTTGGCCGGATATTGAGAACTTTATCCGGTCACGATTTTGGCCATATAAGGGGCATTTTCTGAATGTTTGAATCCCGGATAATCGAGTGTTTACAGTATTGGTAGTGTCTTTTCACAGACATAATAACACGGGATAAAAACGTACATTTGTGTAAGGAATTTACACAAAGTCTTTTGCACTCCCCTGAGTGCTTTGTGAAGGTTTGAGGGTGTGATTAGGATGACTTGCATCTCAACGTCTTATCCATTATGCGTTGATTATTTAAATAATGATTATCAAATAAATATGGTAACATTTCTTTGCTTAGCCTACCTTAGCCTATTGAAGGTGATCGTGGCTAGCAACAAACAGTACAGGAAAGTATAATAATATATATAATCTCATAGTTTGGTACAGTATTTGTCTTCCTACTTTATTGGAATAGGATTGTTGTCTTTTGGTACCATGTTAGTTATGCAATTTATTTTTAATTACAAATGTTTTGTTTTACAGCACAATGGGCAAAAAAAGCAATGCCAAGAAGGCCGCCACCAAAAGTGGAGGACCAGCCAAACTTCTACCACAGACCAGAGGAGAGCTAACTGCTATTGTTGATGAAGTTTTTAAACGTAAGTCAATAGTAACTTACTACAATTGTTAAATTTATTTCATTTTGTAACAACAAGAGCTTGAGATGTGGTTTGTTAAATTAAGTACATATATTTTACTGAACTGTAAATCATTATAAAATTAACCTTTTTTAAGTACAGTGGTACCTCGAATAACGAATTTAATCCGTTCCGGCGCGGTGATCACCATGTGAAATGGATGTCATATGAAACGAATGTCCCCATTGACAATAATGAAAATCAAATTAATCCGTTCTACCACCGAAAAACATCAATATGATATTCAAATTTTTTTTTCCAATTATGGAGCAGCCTACCTTACATACACTGAACAAACCTTTATGACATTTTTCTTTCTTCAAATTTGTTAAATTATTTTGTTTTCATTTTTTGTATAGCAAAAGGTTCGTTCGGTGTTTGTCATGTAGGCTGCTCCATGTTTCTTAAATAAAAAAAATGAAAAAAAAAAGTTGAAACAATTTGAAAAAGGACACATGCCATGAAGGTTCATTCAGTGTTTGTTGGGTAGGCTGCTTCATTATGACAATCTTTGTGTGTTTCAAATGTGTTTCATTTGTTTTGTATTTTTCATTTATTTCTCAATAATGGAGCAGCCTACCCGCCAAACACTGAATGAACCTTTATGGCATTTGTCCATTTTTCAAATTGTTTCAACTTTTTTTTTTATTCATTTTTTTTTTTATTTAAGAACATGGAGAATACCTGCCGAACAGCGAACGAACCTTTTTGACATTTGTTCTGTTTTTCAAAATTCTTATTTTTGTTTTTAATTTTTTTTTATAAGAAACATGGAGCAGCCTAGCTGACAAACACCGAACAAACCGTTTTGACATTTGTTCTTTCTTTAAAAAAGTTCATTTCGTTTTTCTTCAAAAAGTCGATGCTTTGCAACATTCCAGCATCAATAGCATCTGTAAACAAAGCAAAATAATTTGTTTGCATGATCGGAGGCATCCGAGAATGTGCGAGAAGCAGCCCCAACCCCACCATGTGGTGTTGACGTTATTCAAACAAGCAGTCGCCTAACGAGACGAATTGTCGGCGATCGGGGCGTTCGTTACCCAAAATGGTCGCCATTTGAGGCGGTCGTCACTTGAGGTTCCACAGTACTTCATCTTCATTCAAATTCTGCAGTAGCTATTTTAACATGTCATGGTGGTAATCAGAGACAATGTATCTGATTGGAAAAGTGTTATTAGCAGAGTATCACAGAGTTCAGTGCTAGCACCAGTAATGTTAATTGTCTACAAGAACGATTTACAAGAAGGCGACTCAGAGTTGCATGAGCATGTTTGCTGATGATGCGCAAGCTACTAGGGAAAACAAAAGATTCAGACGGCCTGGACAAAATGGTAGATGGAATCCAATGTGAATAAATTCTATGTTATGGAATGTGGAATAGGGAAAATTTGGCTACATAAACCTACAAATTATGTGAAGAGATATTTAGGAACTTGGATAAAGAGATCTGGGAATGTTTCAAGGGCATTGTGAAAGGAGCCTATGCTATACTGTAACTACAAACTTCAAGATTGCTTTAAAGTATTGTGCATGGATAGAAAATGCTAAAGAAATTGTTTATGATATTTGTGAGACTAAAATTGGAGAATGCCACAGTGGTATGGTATCCATATCTTAAGAAGGTACTGTATCAGTAAATCAGAAAGGGAACAAAGACTTGCTTCTAAATAGCTTCCGGAACTGAAAACCAAGAGCTGTGAGGAGAGGATGGAAGCATTAACCAAGAGCTGTGAGGAGAGGATGGAAGCATTAACCAAGAGCTGTGAGGAGAAGGTGGAAGCATTAACCAAGAGCTGTGAGGAGAAGATGGAAGCATTAACCAAGAGCTGTGAGGAGAAGATGGAAGCATTAACCAAGAGCTGTGAGGAGAGGGTGGAAGCATTAACCAAGAGCTGTGAGGAGAAGGTGGAAGCATTAACCAAGAGCTGTGAGGAGAGGGTGGAAGCATTAACCAAGAGCTGTGAGGAGAAGGTGGAAGCATTAACCAAGAGCTGTGAGGAGAGGGTGGAAGCATTAACCAAGAGCTGTGAGGAGAAGATGGAAGCATTAACCAAGAGCTGTGAGGAGAAGGTGGAAGCATTAACCAAGAGCTGTGAGGAGAGGGTGGAAGCATTAACCAAGAGCTGTGAGGAGAAGATGGAAGCATTAACCAAGAGCTGTGAGGAGAGGGTGGAAGCATTAACCAAGAGCTGTGAGGAGAGGATGGAAGCATTAACCAAGAGCTGTGAGGAGAGGGTGGAAGCATTAACCAAGAGCTGTGAGGAGAGGGTGGAAGCATTAACCAAGAGCTGTGAGGAGAGGATGGAAGCATTAACCAAGAGCTGTGAGGAGAGGATGGAAGCATTAACCAAGAGCTGTGAGGAGAGGGTGGAAGCATTAACCAAGAGCTGTGAGGAGAAGGTGGAAGCATTAACCAAGAGCTGTGAGGAGAAGATGGAAGCATTAACCAAGAGCTGTGAGGAGAGGGTGGAAGCATTAACCAAGAGCTGTGAGGAGAAGGTGGAAGCATTATACAAGAGCTGTGAGGAGAAGATGGAAGCATTATACAAGAGCTGTGAGGAGAAGATGGAAGCATTAACCAAGAGCTGTGAGGAGAAGGTGGAAGCATTATACAAGAGCTGTGAGGAGAAGATGGAAGCATTAACCAAGAGCTGTGAGGAGAGGATGGAAGCATTATACAAGAGCTGTGAGGAGCATTAACCAAGAGCTGTGAGGAGAAGCATTAACCAAGAGCTGTGAGGAGAGGATGGAAGCATTAACCAAGAGCTGTGAGGAGAGGATGGAAGCATTAACCAAGAGCTGTGAGGAGAAGGTGGAAGCATTAACCAAGAGCTGTGAGGAGAGGGTGGAAGCATTAACCAAGAGCTGTGAGGAGAGGATGGAAGCATTAACCAAGAGCTGTGAGGAGAAGGTGGAAGCATTAACCAAGAGCTGTGAGGAGATGGAAACTGGAAAATATTGGAGGGGTGACAGGTAAGCTTCTATCATGGATGAAAAATTTTCTGACTGATAGAAAAATGAGGGCAGTAATCAGAGGCAATGTATCAGAATGGAGAAATGTCACAAGTGGAGTACCACAGGGTTCAGTTCTTGCACCAGTGATGTTTATTGTGTACATAAATGATCTACCAGTTGGTATACAGAATTATATGAACATGTTTGCTGATGATGCTAAGATAATAGGAAGGATAAGAAATTTAGATGACTGTCATGCCCTTCAAGAAGACCTGGACAAAATAAGTATATGGAGCACCACTTGGCAAATGGAATTTAATGTTAATAAATGTCATGTTATGGAATGTGGAATAGGAGAACATAGACCCCACACAACCTATATATTATGTGAGAAATCTTTAAAGAATTCTGATAAAGAAAGAGATCTAGGAGTGGTTCTAGATAGAAAACTATCACCTGAGGACCACATAAAGAATATTGTGCAAGGCTGTTTGTGGCTCACTGCTTGCTTGTCTTACTAAGAATCTGTCTAAAGACGCTTGTTTTTCCCTACATTTTAACACTTGTCTATAATAAGACATCACATTGTCATTTAAAAGGTCAATGCAATGGCCTGCTACAGCTTTATCTGGGTGAGATTTTTCAACAGAACTTTGCAGTTCTTCCCATACTTCACACATTTTCTTAATGAGGAAGTGACATCTTCTACTCACAACTATTTTCTTAGCTTGAACCTTACCACTGGCTTTCTTCGGACCCATTGTTAGATATATAATAACAACTTTTATGTTCAAATGGCCAAATATCCAACAAAACACTGTAAATCCTGGTGAAGAATTGAGGAGGGATAGTCACTGGGCGCGAGGCACTGGTAAACTGAGCGGCGATCGCTGTGCCACCACGCGCTAGTCGGCCCGTACGCGTATCAACACCCTCGTATCCCGAGGCAACCCTTGTATCCCGATACAAAATTTCCGAGCAAATCCTGCTCGTAACCAGGGGCGCTCGTAAGCCAAGGTATCACTGTACTTATAGTAATGATGTGGACCATCGTAGATATTACATAATGGACAATTGGAAAGAATTTGGTATAGTACTGTTGAATTTGGACAAACTGGAAAAGTGGGCGATGAGTCACAATAACGTGGCTGAAGTATGTTGACCAATCTTTTTTCTAAGATTGAAATCTTTGAAAAAGATTTCAAAGAAGCATGTTGACCAATCTACACTCAAACTTTCGGTGTCACTATGGGTTCCCCTCTCACCCCTGTTCTTGCCAATTTCTACATGGAATACTTCAAAACTGTTGTTCTTCCTTCTATTGAAACTCGTCCCTCTCACTGGCTTTGCTATGTGAATGACATTTTTGCTTTATGGCCTCATGACCTTAGTCTATTTCAGCCTTTCGTCTCCTCTCCTCTCTTAACAATCTGGCTCCTTCTATCCATTTCAAAGTTCAATGGGAATCTAATTCCCTGCTTTCTTTTCTTGAAGATCACGTTCACAGCTCTCTGTCCTGGTTCTCTTTCTCTGTCTACCGCAAACCCATGCATAGTGGCATGTATATTCACTTCTTTTCCTACCATCCACCTTCTGTTAAGAAAAGTGTCCTCATCTCTCTCTTCCTCCTCGCTCTACGCATCAGCGATCCTGAGTTTCTTGACTCTGAAATTGCCTTTATCTACACATCATTCTCTCGCCTTGGTTACCCTTTGTATTTCATCAACTGTACCTATTCTTAAGCTAAACGAAATTTCTTTCATCCTAGACCTGCTTCCAATACTAGTAGCACTGTGCTCTGCCTTCCCTTCATATCTGAACTCAAAACTTTTACTAATACTTTTCGTCCTCTTGACATAAAGCTCGCCTTTTGACAAACTAACACACTTCGTAGCAATCTAGTTCACACTGCTGCTGGTGTCTACTCTATTTCCTGTTCATCTTGTCCTCTCCAATACTTTGGTGAAACTGACCGTACACTTAATGACAGACTTAAGGAACACAAAAGAAGTGTTAAGTCTGCAGACACAAACAATGCTCTCTTTTGTCATGTTAGGGATTCTAATCATCCTATTGATTAGTCTTCCTCCAAAATAATCTTTCCTGCCTCTACTCTACACAGACGCCGTCTTGTTGAATCGGCTCTAATACACAAGGAAGGAATCATTCAGGACCCTGTATACCACTTATGTAAGATCAATCCTGGAGTATGCAGCTCCAGCCTGGAGTCCATACCTAGTTAAACACAAGACAAAGTTAGAGAAGATCCAGCGGTATGCCACCAGGCTCGTCCCGGAACTGAGAGGAATGAGCTACGAGGAAAGGCTAAAGGAGCTGAACCTCACATCCCTGGAAAACAAAAGAGTAAGGGGAGACATGATAACCACCTACAAAATTCTCAGGGGAATTTACACGGTGGACAAAGACAAACTCTTCAGCACGGGTGAGACACGACCAAGGGGACACAGGTGGAAACTTAGTACCCAGATGAGCCACAGAGACGTTAAAAAGAATTTTTTCAGTGTCAGAGTAGTTAATAAATGGAATGCACTAGGAAGTGATGTGGTGGAGGCTGACTCCATACACAGTTTCAAATGTAGGTATGATAGAGCCCAGTAGGCTCAGGAACCTGTACACCAGTTGATTGACAGTTGAGAGGCGGGACCAAAGAGCCAAAGCTCAACCCCCGCAAGCACAATTAGGTGAGTACAATTAGGCGAGTACAATTAGGCGAGTACAATTTGGTGAGGTGAGTACAACCTACCCAACATGAACTTGAGTCTTGGCTTTGTTGCTGTTGACTCTTCCCTTTCACAGTATATACTCAAATGCTGTAATCTTTCTAATAAACGTGACCTAACATAAGTTTACCCTTCCATTTATCCTTCTTTCTCTTTCCTTTTTCTGTCCATTATTTTCTCTTACGATCCCTTGCTATCCTCTTATTCCATTACTATCCCCTTCTTATTGGGGGGTTATAAATAAGAGCTGCCTCGCATGGGCCAATAGGCCTTCTGCAGTTACCGTTGTTCGTTTTCCTGTTATTATCCCCCTCTACTACACCTTACCTTGCATACCTTTTGTCTTGCTCTTCACCTCTCTTGCCTATTTATTGCCTTCATCTCCTTCTCTCATCACAATCGACTAGAGAATGGTCCAGGACGGATCAAAACGTCGTCGTCCCTTCATTTTCTAGTGTGTGGATTGGTCAACAAACTGGAAAAGGTTTGTATTTGTTGCAAATAAAACCTAACTTAACCATCCTAGGGCTAATACTTGCTATCTAAGGCATATTGTAGTACATATATGTGCTATACTAAGCACATTAAGGAATATTTAAGATTGGTTTTTATTTTTATTTTTCAGGACTATAAAAAGTATGTAATATCATATTCTTCTATTTAATTGTCCATTATGTTAATACCTGTATGATGAAATATCTGCTCAAGTACTGTAGCTAAAAATAATGAATTGATAAGAAAATTAAGGGTCATAATGAGCAGGTGTTAATGAGAAACTTTGGAAAGAGTTACTTATAAATGTGAAAGTGGTTCAAGATAAAATAGATCGAAGCAAGTTAAGGCAGTATGACTATATAGCATCTGGAAGGTATACGAGAACAAGGAACTGGGATGTGGACAAAGTTAAGGAACTGTGCCCAATCACTTGGACCATTGGGTATTGAATTACAGCCCTAAAAAAAGTAAGGTTGCTCTACCAACCAGTCCAAGTTAATGGGTAAAGGGGGTAGGAGGCGAGCTAATGGGATGGGGAGGAGGCAAGCAGAGGGGAAAGAGGCGAGCGGATGGGCAGAGGGAAAAGAGGTGAACGGATGGGCAGAGGGGAAAGAGGCGAGTGGATGGGCAGAGGGTAGAAAGAGGCGAGCCGATGGGCAGAGGGGGTAGGAGGCGAGGCGATGGGCAGATGGGGGGGGTGGGGGGGACGAGCCGATGGGCAGAGGAGGGGGAGGAGGCGAGCCGATGGGCAGATAAGGGGGGGAGGTGAGCCGATGGGCAGAGGGAGGCGGCAAGACGATGAAGGAGGGAAGGGTGTGAAATATTAATCAATTTAATTATGACTTATAATGACCTAATATTGCAGTGGATGTATAAAACTATTCAATAACTTTCTATTCACCAGGTTGCACAAAGATACCTCCAGCTGTTGCTCCAAGTGCAGCACATGAGTGGGCAGAGTATTTGGAAATATATGCACTTATTGAGAAGATAACAAACATAGAGAAAGGTTTGTAGGATTCTTTTTGAACTTTATCAAGTGTCTAATTATATGATCTTAAAGATGTGTAGATTTTTGTGCGCTCTATTGATGGCATATAATTGCTAATAAAACAATCGCTGCACAGTGGAAGCTTCAAAATCCTGACCTCCTTATAATTCATACACTGTTCTTCCAAATGATTAACAAATTTTCTTTATCGGATCACTTCTGCTGGAAACAAATCTGAATATGGATCTGTAAACATTTGCGATCAAGCTCGGTCAGTGGCATATACACTAGTAAATTTGAGAAGATTATAATTTTTAAAAATTTGTGCTACTCTTGCACTTTGAGTTGTAAATAGTTAGAAATGTTTTGTGAGCTGAAGTATAAATGGTACAATACAGTTAGTATGTTATTTATTTTTTGTAGGTGGCTTAATGCATTTTTCTTCTTATACAGTTGTTATTTGTCTGCATAAATATTGTCTGACTGGCAGGAAGCCCACACCTACCAGTCGTCTAGGCAGGTGTGGAAGCCAGCCCGGAAGATACTGGAGCCATGGAATGCACCCGATCAGTGTAAGAGGAACTAAACAAACAAAACTGGAGCCAACAAAAGAATAAACAGGGTCTCGCTGGAGGTACACACCAAGGGCCTCACCAGGAGAAAGCCGAGAGGAAAAAACATCAGAAAAAATAACTGAGGAATCAGAAACCAAAGGGCACCTTAAAACAAACTTGGGGGGGTGGGGGGAGAGCCCTACCTACCTACCTACCTACCTACCTACTGCCGGCAGATAAGACGCACAATGTGTATTAAAAATGTTTCGTTTTTGGATAAAACGAGCCCCACATTGAAACGACCATAATACGGACAGGATACTGAGCGCCATAGGCTAGGGAGCTGAAAAAGCAGACCAGACAAGGACACTAGGCTCAAAAAATGGTGCCCATAATAATATAAAGAAAACAAGCCAATGACCACAGTGTATACACAAGACCGAGGTAAGACAATACAGAAGTACCAAAGTTTTGTATACAAGACAAGACAGCCCTGGGAACACAATACCGGGAGACATGACCACCACCCACAATTCCTCAGGGGAATGGACAGGATAGAAATAGAAGGATGAATCAACATGACTGGTACACCCATAATGGGACACAGGTGGAAGCTGAGTACCCAAAGGAGCCACAGACAACAGAAAGAACGTGTCGAGTGGCAGAGTAGTAAGGAAAGGGAATGTAGGAGGCAGTGAAGTGGTGGAGACAGACACCCCCATCTAAGATCAAACGTAGAGACGCAGGAGCTCGAGAAGCTTGGAAATGTCTTCACCAATGATGTCTTGTCTTCACAATTGTCTTGTGAATGATGGGTGAGAGGCAGGCCCAAGAGCCGAAACACAATGCTAAAAGAGCAGCAAGCACAACTAGAATATGATGACAAAGTGAATACAAACTTGGCAAAACCACAGACAACACACCAGCAGTGATGAGGGAAGCGCACACCACTTCACGTACCTCCCGACCCATGTCATAACAAACAGAACCCACGTCTAAGACATGTCACACAGAAATGAATGACTGAATTAACAATATGAACAATGGTGCATCAGAGAAATGAAAAATGCCCCCAAAAAGTGGAAAAGGAACTATAAACTTTCAATCTCCCAGCCTGCCATATTCAAAGAGTAGATGACGACAAACCCCAGCTGTGGGATGGTGTGCCACTACCGATGCACCGCTCTAGTAGCCAGTCGCAGCAACACAAAACATGACACTCAGAACCCAAGCGTCATAATCTGTATTGCAAATCACTTGCCCAAAAATATAACCAATGAAACCGCCGATCAGAGAGGAAGTAAGAACTGGGGTACCCAAAGCACTGTAAAATAATGTGCAATATATGAATGATGAATCACATGAAAAAAGTTGTAATATTAATTTTGTTTTCCCTGCTACCAAACATCCAAGCAAAAGGTGGGTGCGTCCGACGCAAGGTTGCGTAAACCATGCCGGCAAATACGGGAATACAGTATAACCTCGATTCAATGTACTGTACCCTGATTCAACGAATCTCCAGCTAGTTCACACACTTTTCAGGCTGGATTTACTCAGCCGGTTCGCCGAAGCGGGGGATGTTTGGAATTGCTTACGATGTCGAGACAGAGTTCACAGACTGGTGGAAAACTTTCCCATTCTATCACAGATTACAATTAATAATTCGCTCATATGAGAAGTTGGATCACACAAGTGGACCACACAAATGGACCACACAGTGGGGCACACAAGTGGACCACAAGTGGTCCACAAGCTTACGATGTTGGGACAGAGTTCACAGAGTGGTGGAAAACTGTCTCATTCTATCACAGATTACAATTAATAATTCCTTCATAAGACAAATTGGATCACACAAGTGGACTACACAAGTGAACCATATGAACCAAACACCAGCCAGAATGGTCCACACACAAGTGAACGACAGTTTCCATGATTTTCGTTTACTGATTTGTGGCACACGTATTTTTGTAAATTAATTTAAAGGCTGAAGCGTGAATAGCTAGTTAATGTGTTGAAATCTTCTTATATCCATTTTCTGTGATGAAACAAGATGAGTAAGGGTGGACAGATAAGGGAATACTGTACTGTAAACTCTCACTTTCGTCTATGTCGTCATAGTTCAGTGACCCATGACTTTGAACGTTTCAGATTAATAAATCACTTCTAAAACTGGTGGATTTAATAATTCTCTATTATCCTAATTAAACTAAACTAAATAAAACCAAAAATATACTGGAATATGATAGATATCTGCTATATGAGAAATTATTCATGTTTTTGCCGGCACAACTCCAGCACGAGTGGACGGGTCTAATCCGTGTCCACACAACACCATGCTTGTTTTGTTCGATTTCGTCGCTATAGTTCAGTGACCTACGGCTTCGAAATAATAAAATTAATAAATCAGTTCTAAAAGTATTTTTTATAGCTCTTATTATCGTAATAATCTTGCTAAACTAAATATATAACCCAAAAATATATAATTTGATGTAAATCCAATATTTGAGGGAAATTTGTTACTGGATCTGGCTTTAATACCACCTTTAATACACTGTATAATAATACTTTATTAATAATACTTTAACACCACCTGGCTTTAATACACTGTAGGGTGTATAGACCTAGTCTGTAGGGTGTATAGACCTAGTCTGTAGGGTGTATAGACCTAGTCTGCGTTTGTACAGTAGGCACTCAGTGCCCTTAGCTTTGTCTGCGATTGACGTATTTATCCGCTGGTGGAAGAATAATCGTGGAATTTACCATTTTTTGACTACAGCTGTATTATTATACAACAAAATGTCTCGGGGGGGGCTTACTAATAGTACCTTATTAATGTAAAAAATGAAGCAACATTTTGCAAGAACTAGTAGCAGAAAATCAACCAGCACGAGCACAGCCGTACCCAGCACGAGCACAGCCGTACCCAGCACGAGCACAGCCGTACCCAGCACGAGCACAGCCGTACCCAGCACAAGCACAGCCGTACCCAGCACGAGCACAGCCGTACCCAGCACGAGCACAGCCGTACCCAGCACGAGCACAGCTGTACCCAGCACGAGAACAGCCGTACCCAGCACGAGCACAGCCGTACCCAGCACGAGCACAGCCGTACCAGCTCTGAAGAGGCTGAAGCAAACACAGCACCAGCCAGCACCAGCAAAGCTAATGCAGACATCTAAGAACATCGTGTGTGGAGTGTACAGTTAGAAGAAGTGATAACTTAAGTACATAGTGTTAGTGTTCAAATTAAGGTTGCAGTACAGAAATTTTAGTGTACAATAGTTTTCATAAACTGTATTTGTAGTACTCAACATACAGCAGAACTACTTATCAATACAGTGCTAACGGCAGAATACACTACAGTGCGTATTTACTGTACAGCATTCACAACTCCATGAGAATTCAAGATACACAACTCCAACAATAAGGTAAATATCAACTGTAACAGTATTTTTTAGTAGAGTAGTAATATATAGGTACAGTATATAATATGATAATGCATTTTTATTGTTTATAAGAAAAAAAAGCACTGATGCAAATGCCTCTTGAAGGTCGCCTTTCGCAACGAATCCAACGCTCCAACGCACCGGGATTGGTCCCATATAGTGAGTTGAATCGAGGTTGTACTGTACTAATGCTGAAAGGGAAGGAGGGGACAAAAACCCCCTTCCCTGCAGTAACAACACCTATCAAGAGGACACAAGGGCCCAAGCAGGGTCAAAAGGAGCCCAAGAGCTCCAAGCAGACTCCCCCAAGCCCTGGGATCCCCCAACAAAGGCTCCAGGACAGAGCCCTCATCCATGCCCACCACCCCTGAAAAAATGGTGGAGTCCATGGTAAAAGCTTCCAAGAAGGAAGTCTGCTGGGTGGACTCAGAAGCCCCGGCAGGAAAGTTGGGCTAACCACCTCCATGCCTGAATCGGAAGGGGCAGCCCCCGAAGCCACCCGAACTAAATCACCTCCAAACTCCCAAACCCTCAGATGTTTGGAGGTTGGAAGCAGGGAGGGAGGGGGGGGGAACAGGGCAAACCACACCCCACCTGGGACAGAACCAAGGTCAAAGCAACCAGCATCCCCCAAATCCAGGTTCTGAAACCCAAGCAGAGCACCTCCAAGGCTTCCAACCGGGCAACCAACCAGGCCCATTACAAGGAGAGGCGAGCATGCAACACAGGTGCCGCCTGATCCCTGAGATCAACAGAAAGGAATGAGGAATGTGAAGTACAAGCGGGAAACAAGTCTCGCAAGAGTCCGGGTCGTAGGTGTCACCGACCCCAACAGGCAACGTAACGGAGGTAGTACAGAAGATTGTCTCCCTAAGGCAGGGGTGACAAATAACCTTCAACTTCACACAAGGCAAGAGATGACTTGGATGACTTGGAAGACACATCCATGGTACCCCGAGCCCACTGGGGTTTTCCATGGCCTGTCGCATGAGTAATCCCAACAAGAAGCCCCAGACAC